CAACTGAGCCACCCAGGCGCCCAAAATGTATTTCATTCTAAAACCTCAGAATTTAGAAAACTGATAAAGGGGAGTGAAGGCCCCCGTGAGAGCGAAGTTCTGTGGGTCAGGGTTGCACGGGACCAGCAGTGACCGTGAAGCCCACAGGAAGACTCCCTTGCTGGCGTGAGGGTCTGCCTGGGGCGAGCGGGAGCGGAGCGGTCCACCTCAGCCGGCGGGTTCCAGCCGGGCAGTTTGAAGCTGGAAAATCCGAGAAGCATGTGTATTTGGGGACCATGGGTGGTGACCAAAAGCTCGTGTGGAGGGACTGGGAACCCGGCAGTCTGGGGAGCTCCTGTAAACTGGGGGCTCAGCCAGCGCTCTGTTGGGCCTTGTGGGTCCACAGGGCCGGCGGTCAGCAAGCCCGCTGGGGCGCCAGCGGTGTGTGTGTGTCACTGTGTTGCTGTCGTGACCTTCTGGGCGCCATCGCCCGGGTCTCACTTGTGCCCCCATTCTTGCTGAGTTCTGAGCCAGAGTGGTCCAGGTGGGGCGTCCTGGGAATGCGCTCCCCAGCTGTGGGCAGGAGGTGGGTACCATGCTGCAACACAGCCTGTCGCGATGCCTGAGAGCTTGAAGGTCAGCGTTCCCACTTGCCTTTGACGGGATATCTCACCTGGCTGCTTGCTCTTCACTTTGCCAGGGTCCAGGGCGGGCGCCATGGTGATCCAGGTGGGGTCCCTGTGCTTTCTGCTTGTTTGTGTTCCAAAGTTACGTGAGTGGTGAAAAAATGAAATAGTACTGAAAGACTTGCTTAAAAAAAATCCAGCTCCTTTGTTTCTCTGGTTCTAATCCTTAAAGAAAACCATTCTGACTTTTTTTGTCCAGAATTGCCTCCATCTTGCTGAGTATTGTATTAAGTAAATCCTGCTGCTTCTCGATTTCCACCATAGTCATTATTTACTTGCTGCTAGAATGGGTAAAGACTGAGCTCTCTACCGCATCCTGTACCTGATTTCCCCACCACCCATGCTGCAGCCACATCCTCGTCGTGGTGTCCTTCTTTACAACAGCGACTTCGTAAATACTACTCCTTCAAAACCAGGTTGCACACTCGATCGCCTCTCTTCTCCACATGGCTTGAAGTTAAACGGTAATTGCCTTGTTGTTCATGTGCACACTTCTCTGGTCCCGTGGTGTTTTTAAAGTTTTTATTTTAATTCCAGTTAGTTAACCTACAGTGTAATATCAGATTCAGGTGTACAATATACTGATTGACCACTTCCATACATGACCTGGTGCTCATCACAAGTGTGCTCCTTAATCCCCATCACCTGTTTCCCCCATCTCCCCACGCACCTCCCCCCGGTACCATCAGTTTGTTCTCTGTAGTACACTTGATCTTAGCCAAAAGGCTGAGAAGCGATGTTCTTTATAGTAAAGGGTCTGTTTCCTGGTTTGTCTCTCTTTTTTCCCCCTTTGCTCATTTGTTTCTTAAATGCCACATATGAGTGAGAGCATATGGTGTTTGTCTTTCTCTGACTGACTTCACTTAGCGTAATACTCTCAGATCCATCCATTTTGTTGCAAATGGCAAGACTTCATTCTTTTTTGTGGCTGAGTAATATTCTATTATATATATAGACCACATCTTCTTTATTCAATTGATAGACACTTGAGCTGCTTCCGTATCTTGGCTATTGTAGATAATGCTGTTACAAACATAGGGATGCATGTATCCCTTTGAATTAAGTGTTTTTGTATTTTTTGGGTGAGTGCCCAGTAGTGTGATTACTGGATTGTAGGGTAGTTCTATTTTTTTTTTTAAGGACAGTTCTGTTTTTATTTTATATCTTTTAAAGATTCTATTTGTCAGAGAGAAAGGGAGAGAGAGACAGCAAGCACAAGCAGGGGGGCAGTGGCAGGTAGAGGGAGAAGCAGACTCCCCGTGTAGCAAAGAGCCCGATTCAGGACTCCATCCCAGGACCCTGGGGTCGTGACCTGAGGCGAAGGCAGCCGCTTAACCAACTGAGCCACTCAGGCATCTCAGACAGTTCTATTTTTAACTTTGAGGACACTCCATACTGTTTTCCAGAGTGGCTGCACCAGCTTGCATTCCCACCGACAGTGTAAGAGGGTTCCCCTTTCTCTGCATCCTCCCCAACATCTGTCATTTCCTGTGTTGTTGATTTTAGCCATTCTGACTGGTGTGAGGTGGTATCTCATTGTGGTTTGGGTTGGCATTTCCCTGATGATGAGTCATGTTGAGCATCTTTTCATGTGTCTGTTGGCCATCTAGGTCTTCTTTGGAAAATTGTTCATGTCTTCTGCCCATTTCTTTTTGAAAAGATTTTATTTATTTGATAGAGACACAGCGAGAGAGGGAACACAAGCAGGGGGAGTGGGGGAGGGAGAAGCAGGCTTCCCGCGGAGAAGGGAGCCGGATGTGGGGCTCGAGCCCAGGACCCTGGGATCATGACCTGAGCCAAAGGCAGACGCTTAATGACTGAGCCACCCAGGCACTCCTCTTCTGCCCATTTCTTAACTAGGTTATTTTTTGGGGGGTTGAGTTTGATAAGTTCTTTATAGATCTTGGATACCAGCCCTTTGTCTGTAGTGTCATTTACAAATATCTTCTCCCATTCTGTGGGTTGCCTCTTTGTTTTGTTGACTGTTTCCTTTGCTGTGCAGAAGCTTTTTATCTTGATGAAGTGCCAAAAGTTCATTTTTGGTTTTGTTTCACTAGCTTTTGGAGATGTATCTTGAAAGAAGTTGCTGTGGGCGATGTCGAAGAGGTTACTGTCTATGTTCTCCTCTAGGATTTTGATTATTTCCATGTTTTTAAGGAGTTATTTATGTTCTTAGTAAGTAATACATGTACAGGATGTGAGATGAAAAGTTTTCAAGGGTGAGGAGCAGAAGGCCGTCCCGTCCCCAGCCCACCAGGAGCCTCGCCCGTGCGCTCTGTCCGGGGCTGCTGTGGGTGGAGCGCGCCGGGGTGCCCCGTGCTCACAGAGCCGGCAGCGCAGCGGGTGGAGAGCGGAGACAGCTGTCAGGCAGTGGTCGGGGCTGTGCTGTGGGCGGTAACGTGGTAAGGACCCAGCAGGAGTGTGCAGCTCTTCTGTCAGGGGCCGGGGAGTGAGGGGCTTAGGCTGTTGCCTCTGCTCTGCAGAAGTCACCACAGACGGCGCGCTCATGAAGTGAGGTGGGTTCCAGCCACACGTGCTCTGCAGAAACCATGTCCACCCGTGGCCTGTAGTTTGCCGACCCTGCCGTAGGGACAGGTGCGGGACAGTGGCTCTGCCTTCCGAAGGGAAAGCCTTTCTGATGGGGGCACCGCACGCAGAGGCCTGATGTGAGATACACGCTGGTATCTGGGGAAGGGGGCCCTGAGGAGGGGGCAGGGACCGTTAGGAGGGGACGCTAGAGAGAAGTCCGGTCGGGCGCCACGGGGTGGAGTCTTGGACTCTGAGACGGTGGGCTCTCCGAGGGTTTTGAGCGAGACAGTACCGTGCCTCGACTGACTGGCCGAGAGAGGGTGAGCCCTCTGCAGCTGAGGCCCAGGGGGACGCTGGCGCGTGGCTGTGTGCCAGTGGGAGAACAGACACCAGCGGGGTCAGATTCGAGAAAGCCCAGAGAAGACCGTTCCCAGGGCCACCAGAGCTGTGTGCCGAATGGTGGCCTCTCAAAAGCTATGTCCGTGTCCTAACCCCCTGAATCTCCTGTAAATGTGACCTTATTTGGGAAATAAGGTGTGGTTTTCCTTTGAAGCCACTTTGAGGGTGTGGGTAGGCTAAGGATCTTGAGATGGGATCATCATCCTGGGTTTAGGGTGGGCCCTAAAGCCAGTGGCACGTGTCCTTAGAAGAGACACACAGAGGAGACAGTGGGTAGAAGCCATGTGAGGACGGAGACAGAGACTGGAGGGATGTGTCCTGCCAGCACCTTGATTTCAGCCCCCTGGCTTCTAGAACCCAGAGGGAATACATTTGTGTTATTTTATAAGCCCTGGTGTATGGGGCTTTGTTACGGCGGCCCCAGAAGCTCATCCAGCTTTCCAGAGATTGTCTCTTTGTCATACGGAAGCAGGCTCAGTCTGTTTTCCTGGGTGTTCGCACAGCGAGGATGCTGATCTGTACCTCAGTGTTTCCAGTTAATATTTGTTGTGGATCATATTTCCGGATCTCTATACATGCTTTTTAACTGCTTCGTGGTATATATAGTTTTATGGCTGTCTTATCATTAACTTTATAACCTCACAGTGGACATTTGGATAGTTTCTCGTCTTGTCATTTTATATAGTGTTGCAGTGACTATCCTTGTACATTTACATAACGTATAACAAATTCCTAAAGTAAGAATTGCTGGGTTAAAGGGCATTTAGTAAAGAATTCAGTTAGTAGGGGCACCTGGGTGGCTCAGTCGTTAAGCGCTGCCTCCGGCTCAGGTCATGATCCCAGAGTCCTGGGATCGAGCCCGCATCGGGCTCCCTGCTCCGTGGGAAGCCTGCTTCTCCCTCTCCCACTCCCCCTGCTTGTGTTCCCTCTCTCG